AGGACAAGGGAGTCATAGTTGGGTGTCTGTGAGGTGGGTAGATATGGGATGTTGGAGCTCTCAATTTATATCTCTAAAGATTGCTAAGAAATCACTGTCTTTCTTCCCAATCCCATCCAAAGAATGTATCCATTTATTTATTGGCTTTTGTGAGACAAGGCCTCTCTACATAGCCCTGGTTGGCCTAAAACTCACTACGTAGACCAGACTGGCTTCAAACTCACAGAGATCTAATCTGTTTGTCTCTGCCCGACAAGCAATTTTTTAAAAAAGATTTATTTCTGTGTATGAGTATTTTGCCTACATGCATTTGTGTATACCACATGCATGCTTGCTGGATGCAGAGGTCAGAAGAGGGTGCTTCATCACGTAGAGCTGGTGAAGACAGTTGAAAGCCAGTGTGGGTGCCCCTGGGAACCGAACTGTGGGACCTCTGTAAGAGCAATATTCTTAACCACTGAGCCATCTCTCCAGCTCAAGAATGTAATTTTCAACAAGGTTAAAAAAAGTGAAAGGGCCAGGCGATGGTGGTGCCCACCTTCAATTCCAGCAGTTGGGAGGCAGAGGTAGGTGGATCTCGTGAGTTAGAGGCCAGTGCGATCTACACAGAGAAATCCTGTCTTGCCAAACCAAAAAGTGAAAGGTTTTGGATTCTGGAAAGTGGGGGTTGGTGTTCAAAAAAACAGGAGTCAGTCTGTTGGGGCACAGGATTGCTGGAGAAGAGGAGTTTATTAAAGAGTTACTAATCAGTCAGGCATGGTGACACACACCTTAATCTCAGCACTTAGGAAGCAGAGCCACTTGGATCTCTGAGTTCCAGCCCAGCCAGATTTATAAAGTGAGATTTCATTTAAAAAAAAAAAAAGTTATCAATGCCATGGACACACAGACAAGACCTCTGAGGAAGAGAAGAGTCAGGGCCCCAAGGCTGAAGCAGGAGTTAGAGCACAAGCCTGCTGTCAGGCTCTCAGATTCCCTGCAGAAGCCAGGGAAGGGGTTAGGAGGATGTTTGGCTGCCAATACCCACTTGGATGTAAATTCACTTGCCAGGTGAGAAATTTTGGCAGTAGGAGGCTGTTAGTTAGGGACTCAAGAGCATGTGCCTGTGGGTATCTGTGAAAGAGAGGCAGCTGCAGATAGGGCCTAGAGCAGCTAGATTCTAACACTTCATTCTTGGTCAAAGTAAAGCATTTTTCCCAGTAAAAATTAGTGGGGTAGATTCACATGAAGGAAGCATCACATAGCTCTGGGAGCTACAAGCTTATGCTTTGATATCATTTTGTTCCCAACTTGCTGTCCTTGACATCCTAGATGGAGGTTATCTCGGGGAAGCCATCATCTTGCCCGATATGAGCACAACACATTTTGAAAAACACACTGCCTCTGTTGTGGGCCATTAGGTCCTTATCAATGGAGTCTGAAGCCTCCTGCTTTTCTTTGCCTACGACTCTATTGGAACTTTCTGCCCAACTTGATGGGTTTTTATTATTATTATTATCTTTATGTTCATTGGTGTTTTGTCTGCATGTTTGTATAAGGGTGTTAGATCTTGGGAGTTACACTTGTGAGCTGCCATATGTAGGTGCTGGGAATTAAACCGCGGTCCTCTGGAAGAGCAGTCAGTGCTCCAGTCCCCCAGTTTGATATTTTGCTGTCTATTGTCTGCTATTTGTCATTTGTTTTTGAAACAGGGTTTCTCTGTGTAGCTCTTGCTGTTCTAGGACTCACTACGGAGACCAGGCTGACCTCAAACTCACTATCTATGTAGAATTTGGAGGGGATGGCGGCAGTATTTCAAGACAGGGTTTGTGTATCCCTGGCTGTCCTGGTACTATGGAGACCAGGCTGGCCTCAAACTCAGACAGAGCTTTGGGCTTTGTCTACCTCTGCCTCCCAAGTGTTGGGATTAAAAGCCTGGTGTATACTCAACATATTTATTCATTTAAAACTAAAAGATCAGCTGTCATAAATTATTTTCTGAACAAATTAACTTGGTACTTTGGTCATGATACTGAGGATTACTTTTCCTATTTCTTGAGACAATATCTCACTCTGGATTTACTCTTTGAGTTGCAGTGGGTTGAAGCATGAATGTAAATGAAGGACTGAGTACAGACTGACCTTAGACACCTGCGTAGAAAGAGGCAGTAGTATGGAACTTTCCTGTATACTGGCTAAACATATGTCGCTGTGATTGGTTTAATAAAGAAGCTGACTAGACAATAGCTGGACAGGATAAGTTTAGGTGTGTGTGGGAGAACCAGACTAAGGTTATTGGAAAGAAGGACTGAGTCAGAGGAGTGGCCAGTGAGACAGGGAGGAAACAGGAAGTGCAAGATGAAAGAGCGGTAATGCCATGTGGCAGAATGTAGAGTAATAGAAAGATGTCAATTTAAATTGTAAGAGCTAGTTAGTAATAAGCCTGAGCCGCCAGGCATGCATAATTAAGCCTCTGTTTTGGTTATTTGGGAACTTACTGGCGGGAAAGGAAAACTCTGCTGACACAGAAGCTTCATAAGGATGGATTTAGAAACACAGAGGCAGATGTCTGAAGCAATCTAGCAAAAAGCTAAAAGTGGTTACCATGGGGGAAGTATAGGGTGGAGAACTTTCTCCATTATGAGGTTTGTGTTGCCAAAACCCGTGAGTAGTGTCTTACTAGGTACAAGACGAAAAAATGGAAGGCTGAGGGAAAGCTGATCAAAAATAGCCACTGGTTTTCCTTGCCAGACTGAAGGTGAGGGTGTCATAGAAGAGAAGTAAGTCAACAGCATGAGAACCACTCCACTCACTGTATGTACACCTAGAGCTGGCTATAGAGAATAAAGAGATTTTTTTTTTTTGAGACAGTTTTGTTGTAGCTCTGAAGGCTGCCCTGGAACTCAATATATAGGAGTGGTCTGAACAGTCCATGCATTACCTTAGGAAGAAGGAGTGAAAGAAAATTCCCTGAACTCAGGAAGGGTTTTCAAAAGATTGCAAATAGGAGATCCAGAATGACAAATGTCAGGGCCATCTAACTAGATGACCACTGGGTAAAGGCACTTACTCTCTAGTTTGATTCTCATTACCCACAAGGCAGAAGGGAGAAAAAAGTCCTGTAATTGTCCTCTCACGTCCTCCCACGTGAATGCACCCCTCCCTCCCCTGTGCAAACTAAAGAGTGACTTGCATGCATCCCACGGAACCTCTTGGGTTTCACTGTCCTGTAATTTTCAAATCAGTCCATGACCAGCAATTCATCTCAGTACCCTCTGCTGGGCATAGTGGTAGTACCTCACTGCAATCCTGACACTTGGGGAGGCGAAGTACATTTTCTAATACAAAGTGAGTTCAAGACTAGCCAGGACTCATGTACCTAAGAACCTGTCTTAAAAACAGCAAAAACAGCTCCCTTTTCGTCAAGATGGTGCCTAAAGCGAAGGAAGCTCCTGCCCCTCCCAAAGCCGAAGCTAAAGCGAAGGCCTTGAAAGTGAAGAAGGCAGTGCTGAAAGGCGTCCACAGCCACAAAAAGAAGATCCGTACATCGCCCACTTTTCGGCGGCCTAAGACTCTGCGGCTACGAAGGCAGCCTAAATACCCCCGGAAGAGCGCGCCCAGGAGGAACAAGCTTGACCACTATGCCATCATCAAATTCCCCCTGACCACCGAGTCAGCCATGAAGAAGATAGAAGACAACAACACACTGGTGTTCACTGTGGACGTCAAGGCCAACAAGCTCCAGATCAAATAGGCTGTGAAGAAACTCTACGACATTGATGTGGCCAAAGTCAACACCCTCATAAGGCCCGATGGAGAGAAGAAGGCATATGTTCTGTTGGCTCCTGATTATGATGCTCTGGATGTTGCCAACAAAATTGGAATCATCTAAACTGAGCCCAGCCGGCTAATTCTAAATATACACTTTTTCACCATAAAAAAAACAAAACAAAACAAAAAACAGCAAAACCAATCAAGCAGTCAAACAAAAATCTCCACAAAAAGAAAACACAAAGGATATACTCAATTTATACAATTACAAAGAGACTGGGGGAAGATCATAATGTCATACTAATTGATTTGACCATATTGGCTGACCAGTGAAACCACACAGAAAGTCCCTGGGCTGGGATTAGGGGCAGCCCATGTATGGGAGTTCTGCTGAACTTGTCCATATTGGATTTCATGATCTAAACTGACGAGGACAATGGGCTGGGATTAGAGACACATATAAATGCATCTAAACTTTCTATGTGTTTTACGGATTGAACTCAGGGCTTCATGCTTGCCAGCAAGCACTTTCCTCACCTAACCATTCCCCAGACCTTAATTCAACTGTACTCGATTATAAAATCCTATTCAAGTAAAAACACAAGAAAATCTTATGTCTCCAAACCATGTGCATGGACATAAAGAAACTGAGGTCCACTCACTCCAGCCGCCCAGGTCATAACACAAGTATTCTGTAACAACACAGGAATATGTACTCTCCTGAAGTACCTCTTGTCCTGGTAATGAACTCAGTACTAAACATTTTTCTCTTTTTTTGTAGTCTAGCTAATGTTTTTTTTTAAGCAACTTGTACCACTGTGTTTCAAGTGGATAATTTCCCATAATTAGAGAATTACATAAGTTGGCAATACAGTTTGAATAGTTAACATGGCTGAATTTTGTAAATTTTAAGATTATATATACCAGAACTAATAATTTCAGATTTTGCCAGTAGTATCACAACTCCAAGAAGTCGCTTTCAGAACGTAACTGGGCACACACTTATAACGCAGGTTCTAGATTTTGAATTAACCTGACATTTCTAATCCACCCTAAAATGATTTCTATACTGAAATACTCCATAAATTCATCACAAAACCCATAGTCTGTCTTTTAAACAGCAAATAACTCAGCCCAGCAGGTAGGTCACATGAGCTCTCAATTCCAGTCTTCATTCAGCTAAGGGTTTTTCCCCTGACTAGAGTCACTGACCTTCTCTGTTAGAGAAAGCAGACATTTTCACCTCCACAGACTGCCAAGATATGACTTTATTATACAATGTGTAAAGCTACGGCTCTGTAACTTGTAGGCTTTATTAAGGAAGAAAGAAGGAAAAGGACGACTTAATACAAACTCCACTCTAAGCCTTTCTAGATCTTTTACTGCCAGACATGTAGTATGACATGAAATCCCAGCAAAAGCAACCGACACAGAAGCAGAAGCAAGAAAACAACCAGAGAGGCACACAGGTTCCTTTTTTCTTTTTTTGAAGTATTTTTATACTATATTAAAAAAACTCATAAAATAAAAAAGGGATCCATCAACATATATCTCAGAAGTCCATCCAAGAGTCTCAGTGTCCAACAGCCATGGAGGCTGACGCCTGTGTCATTGCTCAGTCTGCAGCTTGTGTAAGGATCACAGAGGTGACTTTAGGTTACGATCAAACTTGTTCCGCCAGATCCAAGACCCTGAATTTATCCAAATTGTAGAAACATGCTTTAACCACCCGTCCACCAAAATACCTCCCATTCAGATCCACAACAGCTAAAAAGCAAACAAAAAGACAACCAGTTAATACAAGTATCTTGGAAGACATCAAAACAAATAGTAACGTTAACATTTGTTAAATTCTTTAATAATAAACAGCATACCTTTAATTGCTGATTCAACTCTCTCAAATTCTAAAAATATCCGTACTGCTTCATCATCAGGGGCACCAGGAATCTAGAACGGAAAGAACCATAGGAGTAAAGCTGTGTGTCCGTGCATATACTTTAATTACGTGTGTGTGCGCAGGCACACACAACATATGACAAAAGTGGTCAACCATCAAGGAAATAAATACAAATTGCTCATGTAAAAAAATGTACTAATCCTTTCTGAGGGGCTGAGAACACATATCTGAAGCTAATCAATGCAGTCTTTGACTTCCCAGAGCATGCAATCAAGTGATCATACCATCAGCAAACAATAGGATGAAGCAGCAGCAGCAGCAAAAGCAGAAACTTTAGTGACAGAGCATTACTCCAGTTGCCTTCACATAGCTCTGCGTTTTCTCTAGTTTTGTTTAGCTTTTCAAGTCTTACATAATATGGCCCCACTCCATGTATGTAAGAGACCTCCCCAACTAATACCCTGAGGAATCCTCACTCTCCTGCTGCCTCTATCTGAACACCCCTCTCCACCACTCCCCACATACCCTATCAAAGCTTAGCTCACACCTCATTGTTCACAAGCCTTCTTTACTTGCTTTTGCTGACCCATTCTCAAGATTTGTACTTACAGCTAACACTACTAGGTCTCCTATTATTTTTTTAAAAGATTTATTTATTTTATATAGTGTTCTGCCTCCATGTATGCCTGCACGACAGAAGAGAATATCAGATTTCATTATAGACAGTTGTGAGCTACAATGTGGTTGCTGGGAATTGAACTCAGGACCTCCGGAAGAACAATCAAATGCTCTTAACCTCTGAGTCATATCTCCAGCCCCCAGGTCTACTATTTTATATTTCCTGCTTATTTGTTATGTGCTGTCTCTTCAACTGAACATATTCATAAAAATACAACACAAAAGGGCTCCACGAGAGGCCCTAGATACTTATAAAATGATGTAATAAAATATTCACATTATACTACCAAATAAAATCTACTTTTGTTTTTACAATTACAACTAATACACAGCTGAAAGTGGTGGTGAACGCCTTTAATCCTGGCATCTGGGAGGCAGAAGCAGGCAGATCTCTATGATCTCAATGCCAGCCTGGTCTACAAAGCAAGATTTTGTCTTAAAAACAACCAACCAACCATGAAATAACAGCAAACTAACACATATGAGAAATTTAACTAATATGCGTTGGCTTCTGTAGTAAGACAATGGTACTGGGCCAATGCCAGTGCTACTTGTGGAAGGGAATTTATAATCTGCCAATTACAAGTTCTATCAAAAGGAAATCTTCCTACCTCAAATATCACACATTTCCCAACTTTGCCGTATTTTTCACATTCTTCCTTGGTTTCAACTTCCAAGTCTTCATCGACCTCTCCTGCACCAACCATGTTCTATATAGAAACAGAGAAACAAATAAATACCAAACTTAATCCACAAATGTGTAAGGTTTCAGAAATAACAGTTTCTTTCATAACGGCAAATGTTCTCTCCTTCCAGCCGCCCAGTAGCAGAACCTTGCACATGCTAGGAAGTACTCTAACCCCAAACCACATTCCAGATGCGGGGTATGTTCTCATCTCCAAACATAAAACTTTGCCCCTCAAGTACACAAAGCTGGCATTTCTGCAAACATACATGAAGCTTTGAAAAGTGGTACAAGACTATGTGCCTGGAACACCTAAGAGGATGTTCCAGAAAATTAACACTTTCAACTAATCATTTCCTGCAGTTTCAATGTCACACTTTCCACTTTAGATTATTTAGAGGATAATCTGAGACCCATCTGTACAGATCTGCCCAAAGGCATTATCTGCAAAAATATCATTTTCAGTATTCTTTTCAAAAGTTCATTGATTTTTATATGGATGAGCATTTTGCTTAAATGTATGTCTGTGTACCATGTGAATGCCTTGTACCCTCTAGGGCCAGAAGGGAATCCCCTCAAACCGGACAGGTGTGAACCATCAGGTGAATGCTGGGAAGCAAACCTGGGTCCCATGCTCTTAATCTCTGCGCCACTGCTCCAACCCATATTTTTAGTATTCTTTGGGGGTGGGGGGAGCAATCCAATCAAGTGTTTATTCAGGGCCTGTTATGCACTAAATATTGTTCAGGGTACTTGGGACACATCAGAGAATAAAACAAGGAGCTTTGCCCTAGTGGAGCAAGGAGTATACCATTTATTACGACTTCATCTGCATACTGCTTGAGACCCTGGGCAAGTCAATATTCTTAACTCTTAGGTTATCAGCAGAACTTTATGAAAGACCATAGAGACAGGTAGACTGGGGTGATGCAGAATCAGGGGGGACAGGTTTCTTTTACTTCTTACCCTCAGCAGGACCACTTTAGTAGGGCACTTAAGTATTTCAGTTAATGGATTTGAATCCGACTTCTTGGATGCATCTGTATCAAAACATATCATCAGACACTATATTGGTTAATTGTTGCAGCACAATCTAGAACCACCTAGAAGGGCCTCTGAGAATGTCTGTGAGATACTATCTTTTTTTCTTAAGACAGGATTTCTCTGTGTAGCCCTGGCTGTCCTCAAACTTAAGAAATTCTCCTGTATCTGCCTCCTGAGTGAAATATTATCTTAATTATATTTATTAATATGGGAGGGCCTCTGGGATTTGGGGGGCCTAGACTATACCATGCTGGGAAAAGTAAACTAAAATTAGGTAACATGCACTAATTCATTGCTCTTCTCCCAACTACACGTTATGTGACTAGCTGCTTCAAGTTCCTGCTGTCAGCTCTCAGTAATAAACTGTAACCTGGAACTGAGCCAAATAAACCCTCTCATGAGTTTTTTATCAGTGTATTTTACCACAGCAATGGGAAATGAAACTGATGTGGGATTACCCTCTGTATGCTGTGAATAAGTTTTATTACCATTGGCTAATAAAGAAGCTGCTTTGGCCAATAGCTTAGGTGTTTTCTTAGCTAGCTCTTACATCTTAAATTAACCCATTTCTATTAATCTGTATATCACCATAAGGCTGTGGTCTACTAGTAAGGTTCCAGTGTCTTTCTCCTTAAGCAGCCACATGGCATCTCCCTAACTCCGCCTTCTTTCTCCCTGCATTCAGTTTAGTTTTCTTGCCTAGCTCTATTCTGCCCTGCTATCGGCCAAACCGATGATAATACAACATCTTCACAGCATACAGAGGGGAATTCCACATCATGAAACTAAGACAGAAGTGTTAGAACTGAGTCCCATCACATGACTAATTCAATTACAATAGCGACTTTATTATTTGTGCCCTCAAGCCATCTATAAAAGCATCTATGCAACCAGTCCCTGCAATAAATTTTTCTTCTTTGAAATATGCTTTTATGTTATTTTCTGGCTTCTACCATCACCTATCGTCTTTTGCTCATTTCATTTGTAAAGGGCTGGCAGAACATACAGATTATAAAATTTACTGGGAGCCCTTGTCTTGGAGTAGCAGTTTAAGGTTGCTGGCCCAGACCCTTAATTATCTAGCCATCAGCTAACTTCCTTTAGATACTTTTGTAAACTGGAGTATCTGCTGTTTTTGCAACCAGTACTCAGCATTCAGGCAACTGGCTGCTGCTGAGCTGTGAATTAACAGGGCTGCCAGTTGAGTTGTAACTACATATTTTAGGGAAGGAAATTCAGATAAGCTGATTTATATATATAAAAAAACCATTTTTATAAACTTAAAATGCTAAGATATATGTCTCATTCCTATTTTCTATGCATACAGAACAAATTATAAAAATCAAATGAAAATAAAATAATCACTAGGTACTACAAAGCAACAAATGAATTATCATTAAGTGAACCAAAAGCCACATCTATACTGGAAGGGCAAAAAACTGTGACGATCCACTGAAGATGTGAGTACAGCAGACCAAATATTTATGATCAAGCTATGGAGTTTCTTTGCCTAACCAAAGCAGCTGGGAAACTTTGCTCCTGCAAACATATTTATCTCTGCCTTGGTTCTGAAGAAAATAAAGATGAATCTCAAGGCTTCCTGGTTTCTTAAGACAGAGGTGGGAAACATGTCATAACTAGAAATCACTGCGCACCAAAAGGGAGGGTGCACCTCTCCTCCTGGGCTGAAGGACACACAGTGCTCTGCGAACTTACCTTGAGACTCGCCCTTCTCCGTTGCATCACCCACAATGATCTTGCCGCCCCGCTTGCTGGTCTTCTCCACCGATAAAGCAGTACTCAGGCCTTGTTCATGTTTCCCCAGGCCCTGGCCTTCCCGGAAGCCATACTTCTGCATGATCTTATGAGCCACTGTGCCACTAGGAGGAAAGGAAAAGGATCCTTATAGTTTATGCCACTGACGTCAGAGCACATTGGATCTGCGGCAGCAACACCCTGGCCATAAACAGTGTGTATACCACAAGAGCTTCAAGACACACAATTAGTAGTGGCTTCTAGATGGAAGCTATGGGGATGCACAGGATGGGAGAAATATAAAAAGCTGATAACTACAACCAAGATAGCCTGAGTTTATCTCTGTGGGTAATGATAGCTTTCATCATGTTAAGAAAAACTGTCTCTGTGAACTCCCTACCTGCACTGTTACCTCGCTTAAGACCAGTTAGAAATCTGGCCTGTCAAATTCGAAGTATGAGGTTTCAGATAAAAAAGACTGTATTTTCTCATGGCATAGCGGAAGCTGCACTCAAAGAACCTTAAAAGCATCTACTAAACAGACAGTAAAACAAGGCCAAGGTTAGATGGCTAGTTTAAGGTCAAACACAAAGCAAGAAAGCATCTGAAATGCTTTTTTCCAGGTGTTACGGCACAAAAGGAACTGGATTCTCAGTCTGCTGCGTTCTGTAAGAGGGCACAATTTTCTCCTGGTGTCCAAGGGTCTCAAGGGTGCTGCTAGTGACACCACCTGCTTGGCTTTGGATCTCAAAGCCCAGCTTCCACCAGTCTTCTGTAATTCCTTTCAGTTTTCTTTTGAACAAGCTATTCCATGGCAAAGCAAACTATTATAACTATACCATACTGGATCTTTTTTTAAGTTAAAAATCCAATTCTTATTTAAATGACAATCAAAACACCAATTTTTAAGGTGTGCAGGAAGGACAAGAACCAGAAGCATGCCTTGTTATCTTCCCCTCCAGTGAGACGAGGCACTGTTGGGCAAGACAGTCGTCCTGGAGCTGCACTAAATCTGCTAACTGCAATGTGTGGTGCCAGAAGTTGGGACTAGCGTGACTAAAGAAAGAATTTTCATTTTTGAAAAGTTCTCAAATTGCATGAGGCTAGTCATCTACTCCAGCTCTTAGTACCTTCATTAGTACCTGCGGAGGGCTCTCAGAACCCAGTTACACACAGTGGCCACCCAGTGGGACTACCACACCTGATGCCTCACTACTAGCATTTCTACTGCAAGCAGCATCCTGCTAAACAGCATGGAACAAATAATTTAGGGCAATGCCACTTGAGCAGCACTGGAACTAAGATAAAATACAGTGGCACACATGTGCGACCCTAACATCAGCACTCCAGATCCTGAGGCAGGAGGCAGGAAGATAGTGAGTTTGAGGCCAACCTGGGCTATATAAGGAGATATTACTCTAGAACCAAAAAATAAAATCCACCAGTCTTACTCAAATGTCAATGTTTGTTTTTTAAGATAAGGTTTCTCTGTAGCTTTGGAGCCTGTCCTGGACCTCACTCTGTAGACCAGGCTGGTCTCACAGAGATCTGCTTGTCTCTGCCTCCTGAGTGCTGAGAAGGCTTGCGCCACCACCGCCTGGCTCAAATGTCCATTTTAAAATTCATTTTTTCATACTATGGCAAACACATGTCTATATAGTTAGACTGGAATTTTTTGTTTTGAGGGGGCGTGGTTAGGGTGAAAGCCCAGGACTAGCACACAGCAGACAAGCCTTCCACCACCAAGCTCCACCCCCAGCCTAAATAGTTTCTTAAAACCAAAGGTGTAAAACCACAATCTAAGGCAAATGACCCATTTCTTCAGGAAAACCCTGTGCACCTCCTCCTTTGGAAATACGCCGAACCATCTCTAATTCCTATAAGCCAATCTATTTGCACATTATGAAAAACAGTGTAATTATCAGAAACTTCTATATATAGAAATAATGTCTCTAAATCAACTTGTACTAGACGGCTGCTTGTACTACTGAGCTGGAAAATGCACAACATGATTTGAACACTAATCCTTTACAGAGCAACATGTGACCAGTGTCTTCATTTTCAAATGAGTTCCACCTACAGAAACAGTGGCAAACACTCCATATGTTTTTCTTTCTCACTGTGTAGCCTAGCCCAGGCTAACCTGAAAATCACAATCCTCTGGCTCTGCACTTTCAAAGGACTATGTCACACTCATACCCCTGTCCCGCCCCTATCTCAAGCCACTTTGATATTCTTCTTAATTAGCCAGGACACTTAAAGCATTAATTACCCCATGTTGGCAAGGAAGGAGTTGCTGGGACCAGTTGGAGACCTTGGTCTATCCGGCTCCTCATACGCTGGGGGAGGAATAGCAGCTTTGGAAGACTGGGATCGAGGTCTTGAGTCCTCTTCGTAAGGAAAATCTCGGGGTACTGTTGGAGAAAAGTAAAGTAGGCTCCATAAAAAACAAAAACTAACCAAACAAAACAACAACAACCAAGAAAAAACAAAAAATAAAAGAAAACCCCACCAAAACCCAAAGCTTCACTAGCTTCAACTGTTCACCTTGAACTGATTTAACCTACATTTTGTTACGTTCTTTCTCTCTTAAAAACAAACAAACAAACAAACAAACACCCCAAGAACCCACTGTCCCCCTTTCAGCATCATATTTCAGCAGTCTTCACAGACAGCATGAGCTGTTCTGAGGTGACTTTTCAGACACGTTTGTTTATGTATGTGTATGTCAGAGTGTATGTAAGGAGAGGTGGCTGATGCTGGGAACCTAACCCATGGTTTCTGGAAATAATAAACACTCTTAATTGTGAGCCATCCAGCTCTCCACTCCTGGTAATTTCTTTAAACAATAATAAAAAAAACCTATATAATCAACGTTCAGAACAATAGGTTACATTATTCATACACATGTGTTTTGCTAACTTCTGTCCCTCTAATGTTTTTGGTTTATAACATCTATGCAGCTTTTTAAAAGTCCAGGTTCACAACCAGAATATAAAAACCCAGAGTAGCAGAGGACTCTTAGTTCTACTGCTCATATCTTCCCAAGCGTACTTCTCACATCTTACTGAAGTGCTGCTTACCCATTAAAGCACTCACTTAGATGACAACTCTTGCTTGACTGCAGGATTTCTGTATGCTCCAGGGAAATGCAATGCAACTCTCATTTGAGTCCCACAGCAGAGCACCTGCTCTAGACTCTTAACTTAGCTAGCTGCACAGACTACAGAAAACATCTCCGAGATCAGGACCACACTTAGTTGCTTTTTAACCCAGTTGCATATTAGCATCAACAGGAAGCTTTAAAGACATAGATGCTTGGGACTCGTCTCTCAAAAACAGTTTGTTGTTTGTCAGATGTCTTGTCTGTTTGAACAATATATGTGTGTATGTTTGTATGTATGTGTGTATAAATATATATTTAATGATATTCTTAAATTATCTTCTTTTAGAACACAATAAACAGCATGCTACATATTAAAGGACTGGAATGATGGATCAGTGGTTAAGAGTATTGGCTGCCTTACAGAGAGCCCAGATTTGGTTCCCAGAACCCACATGGTGGCTCACAATCTTCATAACTCCAGTTCCAAGGATACAATGCTTTCTTCTAATCTCTACAGGTATCAGGTATAATACAGGCAAAACACTCATATACATAAAAATAAAGAATAAATATTTTTAAAAGATTACTGATGACTTTTAATTTTATTTGTTTCATTTATTTATTTTTATTTTATGTGTGTGAGTGCTTTGCCTGCATTTATTCCTATCTACCATGTGTCTGTACATCTGATGCCCATGAAGGACAGAAGAAGGTATCAGATTCCCTGGAAGTGAAGTTATAGATGGTTGGTTATTAGTCATTATGTGAGTGCTGGGAATCAAACTTGGGTCCTCTGGAAGAGCAGCTAGTGCTTCTAACTGCTGAGTTATCTCTGCCGGCTTAGCCATTTATTTTTATTTGTTCATTTGTTTGTTTTGAGACAGGGTTTCTCTGTAGTTTTGGAGCCTGTCCTGGAACTAGCTCTTGTAGACCAGGCTGGCCTTGAACTCACAAAGATCTACCTGCCTCTGCCTCCTGAGTGCTGGGATTAAAGGTGTGTGCCACTACTGCTCAGCACCATTTATTTTTAATGATAGGTTAGGTATGGGTTAGCACAAAGCATGGGACAAAGCCCAACAACGCAACCCAGATGTTAGACGCGCTCCAGAGGAGAATCAGCAGTGGGTGGGCATGCTTTAGTCACGTACTTATATAGACAAATACTATTCAGTAACCAAAATTAATGGAAATTTTTTAAAACAAGAAAGACACTGCCTCCTTGTGAAAGATCACAAAATACAACAGGCTCTAAACTCTGAGATACAAAATTTATTACCTATTTGTGATTTTTGAGACAGGTCTCACTCTATAGCACAAGGTAGCCTGGAAAGGCACTAGATAGCACAGGATGGCCTCGAATGAGGACTTTGTGCTTTTGTCCTCCATGCTAGGTAATGGGCATGAGCAACTACTGCTTTTACTAACTTCAAAGGAACCTCACACAAACATGAAATCTTCATAAAAACAACAAACAGTAAACATACTTTATCTTCTTGCACTCACAGGGCTGGAGAGATGGCTCAGTGGTTAAGAGCACTGACTGCTCTTCCAGAGGATCTGAGTTCAGTTTTCAGCATCTACATGGCAGCTCACAACTGTCTGTAACTCTAAGCTCTAACACCCTCACACGAACACATGCAGGCAAAACATCAATGTACATAAAAAGTAAATTAAAAGAAAATCTGCACCCAGATCCTGGAATTAAAAAATTCCGAGTGATGGCAGATGCCTTAATCACAGCACTCAGAAGGCAGAGGCAAGTCAACACAGTTGAGACCCTGTTGCAAAACAAAACAAAGCAAAGCACCCTAGTGTAGCAGGCAGCAAGGCCACCGTAACTTCAGACACAAGGCTGCTTTGCTTTAAACTCAGGAAAACAAGAGATTCACACGTAAAATATTCACGGTTCATAAATAAGAAAAGAAGAAATGTACATACACTCCTTGTCTTTCTCTACAAGAGAAGTAGGCGGGGCGATGGCAGCTCCTCCCATACCTGTGAAAACATGAGCAGGGATGAAAGGACAGCACACTTACAAGAACTACTGATAGGCACGTGCCATCGGTCCCATCACCACCCTTCTCGCCCCTCACGGCAGCGAACTAGCAATTACACGTCTAAAGCTGGCATCAAAATGTAAAAAAGTAAGGCTCAGGAGCGCAAGTCCTGAGTAGCTATTAACAACTGACAGCTTCTGGGGAGTGTTTAGGAGAATGATGTCACCAGATAGCCTGACACCCAGAGTCCAGTAGGGCAGCAGATTAGACTGGACTAATGAGTTACTTATTCTTCTTAAGAGAGACAAAGAGGACAGAGAAGCAGGGGTTAAGCTGGGAGGGTAAGAGGTGAATATAATCAAAACACATCCTATTCATGTATGAAATTCTCTAAGAATAAACACATATTAGAAAATGTAGATGATACCTAAGCACAATTATTTTTCAAAAGGCATTTAGGAACACCAAAATGTAGTCATCAAGTGTTTTTTAAGGAAAAAGCAAAACCCCACAGAATTAGCACATCGACTTGGCACCTCTTTATTTATAGTCTTATTCTGGCTTCATAAACTTTTAAAAGTGATTATAGCTTCCTGTTTCCAACTGGGAAAACAATCAGAGAATGAATTCAAAGAAATGGGATAAATCCAGCTTCCTGTGATGCCTAGGCCACCTCCCCACTATGTACGTTCCCGACGCCTCTAGGAATTTTGAGTCCCAGTTCTTGAGGAATCTGTCAGGCATTGTCACTGTTCCTGCTCATGTCTGCTAGACAGAAAATGTGGACACAAACCAAAAGAAAAGACAACTAGGATATTGTGAATACAGACTATAAGGAATTCTTAATTATGTGAACCTGAAAACACACAGTATCCTGGCCACACTTCTAGCATGGGCACTCTGCGAGGTCAGGGAGGACTGACTTCCAGGGCATGGAAAGAGACTCTATCTCCAGCCTCCCACAGTGTATTGTGGCTTCACCAGTAAAATAAAAATAACAAAAGATCAATTAAAATTGGTTAAAAATACCATACTGTACCAGCTCAAAATGTTTCACAAAAGAAATTAAAATCATTAGAGATGCCCCATGATTAATAACAAACTGGGTGACTACGATTTTAGTTAGGTTCATATTTCTTGTTAATTTATGTTCTTTAGAGATATTTTCAGTAGACGTTTAAAAATCTTTTTGTTTTGTTTGTCTAGGCTGGCCTTGAACTTGTGTTCCTGTTTCCATTTACAAAGTGGTGGGATTACAGGCATGCACCACTGTGCCTGTGGATAAGTGTCTAATTCATAAATTAAGCATAGTAAGAGAATGACAATAATCATTAACTATAACAATAAAAAAAATTCTGTGTATGTGGCTTCTTTTAGAAGATTCTATTGGACTATTCCATATTTTCAGACTACAGTGGACTATGGGCAACTGAAACTTTGAAAAGTTTTATAGCCCTTAAGAGAAGGTGGGACTACTATGTACATCCCAGATAGAATGCTGCTATTTCTCTGTCAGTTACAAGTTCAAATGCAGAGCTACTCAATAGAAGTTGCATAGTTCCTATTAATATACAGAAAAGTACATGGTACAAAAAGATAGCAGTCACTTTATGGATTGGGAAGATGAATCTTACAAATATTCAAGACAGAAAACATGCTAATAAAAACCAAATAATGGTTGATATTGTGTATCAAGTGCAACATTACCAGACATGGTGCATTCAACAAACAATAAACATTATTCTACTCAAGAAAGACAATGGAACTGAGGTGGTAAGCCTGTAATCTTAGCATTCACGGAGCTGAGGCAGGAGGATGGTAGTGAGCTAAAAGTATGACTGGATTACTGTTTCTGGACTATGTACATAGTAAGATTGTCTCAAACACCACCATTACCAACTCCACCACCAAACTACAAAACCAACAACAACAAAAACTCAATACATTTAATTCACACATCCATCTAAGTACTAAGATATATGAATTATAAACTTGTTCATTTCCACTTAGCAAATATTTTTAAAATTTAAATTATACCCTACAACAGGCTTCAGCACACAGTTGGGGAGACCATTCCTGCCATAAAGCAGAACTACATATACAGAATTAGCAACTATCACGACACATAATCCTTAGGTTTTATGTTCAAGACAACAAATTTCAATGAGGGCTTCAGGCAAATAAAATGAAGGATAAGAAAAAGCGTGGGCCTATATTATCCAGAATGCACTTAGTCCCATGACTTACACTGGAAGTTAACAGAACCTGATAGGGGTTGTGAAGGTCTGAGATGCTTAAAGCAGTGTCTGTTAGGTAGGAAACAAGTAGAGGATTCTGCCAATCAAACCAGCCACTTAAAGTGCTGGCAAGCACACCACCACGAAGTCAAAAGACTATTCTTTCAAACACCATTAGCTACTGCTTATAAGTGCTAGGAATTTAGTCTCTACACAACTAAACCTCTACTCACAAAATTGTTGACAAAAGGGATGGTTTGAAGTCCCCAGCGTATGTTTGGATCCCCTGCTCTCTCAGGAAGCAGGTAAACATGCAAAGACGCACAATGGACCCCACATTCAGTTGAGCTAGTGACACATGTGCTCTGAACATGGTGTCTTCCCTCTCTACCCAGTGCTGACCGGAAATGCACTGGGCTGGAGAAGCAAGAGATGACCATGCCTCAAATAGGGATAAGTGCAGAAATACAACTAACGCTATTTTCAAAGTATACAGCAAATGTCTCAATGAAGTTCAGAGTGGAGTATCTATGAAAACAGTATAAACCAAAGCTACTAAGGAATGTGGACTGGTGGGAATAGAGAGCACCCTCTCTCATCCCCTGCAATGACCCAAACGAATGTGAAATAAACCACGTCTCAAATAAAAGGAAAAGCAAAACCTGGGACAGTGCTGAGTCTAAAGTGTGCTCATCTCTGTTTATGCCTTACTTCTTTTCCTCCGCTCTCGCTCATAATCTTCATCTTCATCAGAATCTGGGTCTGGTCGTCTTGAAAACCCGCTGGCTTCATGCCTGTCTTTACGCCTCCTGTAATAACAAAATAATGAATGTTTATCACAGACAAATTAATATAGAACACAAAGCTTAAATATCATTGTGACTTCCTCTTGGTAAAAGAAAAAAAAACAAAAGATGTTCTTTGAGAATAAATTGTTAATTTATGTATATATGCTGGTGATGGATACAACAGAAAAAATTCAAAAGAAAAAAGTGAATATGTTTAACAGATACATGAGGGAAAATTTTTGATATCTAACTTTTTATTTTAAGGCATATGTATATACAGTTTAATGATTTCAATTTTCTAGGCTACACATTCACTCATAAAAATCACTTACGCAATAAATAAGAAATACCATATGAGCATAGAATGAATATTAATTAAATATTTTAAGAAGCTAGGTATGGTGGTACATGTCTTTAATGTCAGCACTCAGAAAGTTCGGGCAAACAGATCTTTTTGAGTCTGAAGCCAGCTTGGTATATACAGTGAGTTCCAGGCCAGTCAGAGCTACACAATGAGATCCTTGGCTTTAAAAAAAAAAAAAAAAGAGAGGGAAAAAATTAAGAAATAAATACTATTGCCTATACTTTTAAAAAGTAAATGAAAAATACATGTACTTTCACCTGGCTCAAAAATAGGAAAAAGAGCCAGGTGTGTTGGTGCAGGCCTTTAATCCCAGAACACGGGAGGCATAGGCTGAGTTCCAAGCCAGACTGGTCTACAGACTGAGTCCCAGGACAACCAGCACCACACAGAGAAACCCTGTCCCAAAAAACCAAAACCAAAAAAATAGTAAAGGAATAACATTGAAATACTGTAAATCGCTGTGATTCTAGTGGTCATGGCTCTGGAAACAACTTCAATGAGGGTTTCTGTTGTGTTTTGGTTTTCAGACAGTGTCTCATGAACTATATATGTGGGATTACAGGCATGTACCACCACACCTGGCTACTAGTGGGTTTTCTAAGTTACTTTCTAATTCACGCAAGGTCTACACTTTAGGTTTTCAGGGTCCATAAATTTTCTCAAGTGCATTTTCACAGGAGGATGAAACAATTACAAATTTTTAAAACCAAGCAAACACCTGGTGATTGAAGCCATAACCCCAGTGCTGGGTCCACAGCACTGTAGAGTGAAAGCGTAGCTGGCGAACGCTAGAGGCAACACTGAAAGGCGCTCATCTCCTAATGCACGTTAACTGCAGGACATGGACTCCCACACCAAGAGGAAGCTTACTTTTCTCTTTCTTCTATTTCCTTCTGTCGTTCCAGCTCCCGCTGCCTCTGACGCTCTTCTCTCTGGCGCTTCACTACCTTCTCATAATCATTAGGAAACATGGGATCATACTCATCAGCTAAGGGGATCAGAACTTCCCCTGCAGAGAACCCACTGGGAACAGGGTCCTGAGGAAGAAAAACACCCAAGTGAGTACCATCTTCATATCCTGCAGAATCAAAAATCCCAGAATCAAGGTCAGAGGATGATGAAAGAGAGGTCTTCTGGATTATTTTATATTTCCTAGGTGAGTAAATAATTCATAGCAAACGACATCTCACCAGGTGGCAGCACAACCTGGCAATCAAGCAAACGCTTAATTTCATAGAAAAGCACCACACAACTTAAAGACTAAAACCATCCATTAACATAATCATTGTTTAAATGAGTCTTAGACTACCCGGTCACCATTTAAATGACATCTGTAGAAAAATACATGTGAAAATGGATTACCATTTTCCAGACCTCTCTTGCTTCCTCCAGATAGTGTCTCACAGAGCCACAAACTAGAGAAATAGCCAATGGTGACCATGAACAACCACCAATCGCCCTGCCTCCCTGCAGCCTTGTCCTATTAAAGACATGGAGTATTATGCTCAACTTTTTATTTTTAATGCTTTTCTCTAAACTAAGCTCTAACACTGCTAATAGACAACAATTAGAAACAACCATATAGTCTACATTAATAGAATTAAATTACAGGTAATCTACACAAGGCAATACACTGAAGCCATTAAAAATGACCATACAGGTGTTGGAAATATGCTTTAACTGCACTGACTGCTCTTCCAAAGGACCCAAGTTTGATTCCCATCGCCCACATGGTGGCTCACTACCATCTGTAACTTCAGTCCCAGGGAATGTGTCTCCATAGCAACAGGTACACATGCAGTGCAGGCAAAACACTCATGCATTTTTGACAAAGATGGCTGAACACTCACTGAGGTACTAAGAAAATCAAATCAGAGAACAGAAGGCAGAACTCCTGTAAGAAATTCTAAAATTATGTAACTTTAATGCCTGGAGAGTATGACTGAAAAGATACCTGCTTTTTTCCCGCCCATCTTTCATTCCTGATGTTTCCATAATAAACTATTTTAGCTAATATAGGTTTTGATGGTGATAAAATAAAACTTGAGTTGGAAATGACACCAATGGCCTATTGAAGAGCCCCTTGTGTGGGGCTGGAGATGGCGCAGTGGTTCAGAGTGCTTACTGCTCCACCAGAGGACCAGCATTTGGTTCCCAGCACCCACACCAGGGTGTCCACAAATGCCTAACTCCGGCCCCAAGACATCTAATGTCCCGTCCCCTCTGGCCTCCATGGGTACCAGCACATACATGTATGTATACACACACACACACACACACACACACACACACACACACACACAGTAAATTTTAAAAAAGTAGAGGAATACACGTGCAAAATAAAGAAAACAGGAAATGCATCAAAGCCATAGGCATGTGCAGGCTTACCTTCAGCCCGGCTGCTACATGAGGTGGCGTGTCTACAATCTGCCGGTCATCTGAGGAGCCTCCTCGCTTTAGGTCAATGACTGGGGCAAGGACTGTACTTTGTTTTGTCCTTTGGCTCTGACATAAGAAACAAGAAAAACACACCAAAGTTCCAAATTAAAATTCATTCTACTTGGAACACAGACACTTTTTCTGGTCTTAACATACTTCCGGCTGTGATAAAATCATAGTCTTAAAATGGTAACAGTCATTCTCTCTCTTTTTTTATTTTGGTTTTTCGAGACAGGGTTTCTCTGTGGCTTTGGAGCCTATCCTAGAACTAGCTCTTGTAAACCAGGCTGGCCTGGAACTCACAGAAATCCGCCTGCCTCTGCCTCCCAAGTACTGGGATTTATATATGCAGTAGGGTCTTATGCAACTTAGCCTGGCTTCCAGTGCCCTACGTAGCTGATGAGGAACTTGGACTTCTGATCCACCTCCCTCCACATTGCTATGTGTATGCCATCAGACCCAGTTTATACAGCACTGGGGATTTAACGCAGGACTTCCTGAAAACTAGGCAAACACTTTATCAACTGAGCTATATTTTCATCCTTCTTTGTTTTCGTTTTTTTTTTTTTTTTTTAAAGGCAGGGTTTCTCTATAGCTTTGGAGCCTGTCTGTCCTGGAACTAGCTCTTATAGTCCAGGCTGGCCTCAAACTCACAGAGATCTGCCTGCTTCTGCCTCCCAAGTGCTGGGATTAAAGACAGTGCCACCACTGACTGGTCGCTTCATCCTTCTTGATCCTTTTAAAAAGCAAAGATTTCCTCTACTTCCCTATAAAGTTTATAGTAAATGTGACCACGTTCTGGCTAGCCTTAAACTGACAGGGATCCATCCACCTCTCTGCCTCTGGAGTACAAGCTATTGCCCTAGTTCTTTTATATGACCTTACTCGAACTAACTAAAATTACTTATGAACTTACTTGGGGGTGTATGCAAATACCACACTGTCTATATGGAGGTCAGAGGACAACTGGAGAGACTAGGGTCTCTCCTTCCACCACAGTGGTTCTAGTCAAACTCAGGTCATCAGGCTTGACTTACTGAGCCATCTCACCATCCTTGAAGTGCATGTTAAATAGCTGGTCTAACAAAGACCTGGCAGTTTCTTAAATGGATTTCTGATCTGTCAATGCCCCTCTTTCCTGGCACACCACCATCTTAGTTTTTCCTCAGGATATTGGTCTTACAAATGCTGCTTATTTTAGACTGTCTAGTTAACTTACACCTCTGTGCTCTAGCATCTCTCAACCCCGGTTAGATTCACGGTAAAATTTGTAGGCAAGAATGTCCCACAGTGAGCTGTTTGAACTACATCAAGTTCTCAGGTTGCTAAGAGGCCATGGCTGAGCAAATGGAATGATGGTGATCATGAAAGTTTAACTTCTCACTTTCACAATTTAAAGTGACACAAACTTTCTTATCAGGAAGTCTGAGCTCTCCGGACTTTAACAGTGCTTTAAGCAAACAACATGTCATGCAGGTATCATGAAAACTGCAACATAAACCCTAAAGTTTCCACAACAGGGGCTATGATAATCATCTATACGCTCATTTTAAAATTTAATAGGTATTTTCAGAGATGAAATATACGAATGAAACCACAGCTTCATCTTTCAGAAAAACGTAAAATTTTCCTCTACCAAATACTTTTACAAGTTTGGTTAGTACTCTGAGATACTCCCTGAGGAGCCCAAGAGAACCAACATGGGTAGCTTTACTTCCTATTAAGAAATTAACCACACAGAGAACTCAAAGTTCATGTCAGAAAGTTATCAGAGATAATTTTTAAAGTAATGTTCCATTTTGACTGATTTAAAGTCTACTTGCAATCTCCAGATATTTGCTAAAAGAAGACAATAAAATATCTGGATAACTGGTGTAGCGTCACACACCTTTAATCCCAGCCCTTAGGAAGCAGAAGTAGACAGATGGATCCCTGAGTTCCAGGACAGTCGGGGCTACACAGAGAAATTCTGCCTTGAAAAACATAAAGTGTACATACACATACATAGATAAGTATACATATTGATAACCAAAAGTAAACATAAATGTAAAAGATTGAGGCGATGAGGCAGAAAACGGCCAACAGCCTAGACAGCAACTTTTAAAAACCAACTTTGTATTTTCACACACAAATATTATTTAAAAAAAAAAAACCCAAAACCAACATGGGCTGAGCCGTGGTGGCCCACACCTTTAATCCCAGCACTTAGTGGAGAAAAGGCAGGAGGATCTTGGAGTTAGAGACCAGCCCTGTCTACAGAGTGAGTTCCAGGATAGCCAGGGCCACAAAGTGAAACCTTGTCTCAAAAAAATCAAAAAGAAAACAAAACAACAACAAAAAACAAAACCAAAAAGAACAAAAAACAAAACCAATGTGATCCAGAAGTTACCTTATAGTTTTTAATGCATGCATTTCTTAAAACACTTTCCAATTCTACATTATATAAGGTGTTTTACAATGTATTTAGTGGAGCCAGGTGGTGGCGAAACACGCCTTTAATTCCAATACTTAGGAGGCAAAGGCAGGTGGATCTCAGTGAGTTGGAGGCCAGCCTGGTCTACAAAGCGAGTTCCAGGAGAGCCAGGACAATTACACAGAGAAACCCTGTCTGGGGGTGGAGGGGAGGTGAGGGAAGAGCATTAGTAGCCAAATGGTAGTACAGGTCTTTGATGGCAGCACTTGGGAGGCAGAGGCAGGCCGTCTGGTCTATATACTGAGATCCAGGACAGCCAGGGCTACACAGAGAAACCCTGTCTCGAAAAAGAGACAAAGTAAAACAACAAAAAAGTCTTCACATATACTACCAGGTTTTATGACAGATCAAACACGTAAATAATGTATTCCATCATATTCATCTCTCAATCCCATTACCTTCTCCCATAATTACTGATTCCCTCCTCTTCTAAGCTAATGTATAAGCTGGTTTTGAACCTATATATTTGAACCTTTAGTTCATAGATAGATTTATGAACTTGCAGATACAGAAAATGACAAATTAGACACAGCTTAAAAATCAGTTATATATATATTCTTCAAAACTGGCTTCTTTTAGAAGGCAGGGTCTCACTGTGTAGCCAGGCTGGTCTCAAACTTCTGGGCATTCCTCCTGCCTCAGGCTCACAAATTCTGTGATTAAAGGCATGTACCGGTGCTTTTATTTGCTAAAGACCATTTTAGGGGAGGGAGGTGCTAGGGATTGAACCTGATGACCCATACAAGCTAGGCAAGCACTCTACCACTGGGTGATATACACACATGTGTATGTACGTATGTACATATATACATACATACACAATTTTAATTTTTGAGTGTTTTGCCTGTATATATGTCTATGTACTACAGAGGTCAGAACAGTGTGTCAGATTCCCTGGAAATGAGTTAGAGATGTTTGTGAGATGCTTGCTGTGGGTGCTGGCGCCTGAACGCACGTCCTCTACAAGCGCATTAAGTGCTCTTAACTGATGAGCCATCTCTCCAGTCCCCAATGGAATCACTTTTTAGCAATCCTTCAGTGTCTATTTTCAAAGCATTTTTCTAAGTCCCTCCACACCCTTTTTTGAGAGAGTCTCATGCTATATAACAGATTGATACTCCCACCACAGCCTCCAAGTGCTGGATTACAGAATTGTGTACCATGTTCAGCTTCAACCTTGATTACTTTCCTCTTTAAGGAGCCACAGTAAAGATACAGAGTATACACTGTGTGTTTATACTTCATACAAGAGCAAGATCTTTACTTAAGAAACATTAAAAATGGGCAAAGTATTCTTATTCCTAAAATATACTGAATATTTTAGTTAAGAAACATCCAGTTCACAACTATACCTTCCATATTTTAAATTTTGTGGTGGCCCACACCTTTAATCCCAGCACTTGGGAGGTAGAGGTGGAGTTTTGTGAATGAGGCCAGCCTGGTCTACAGATTAAGGCTACATATTGAGATCCTGTCTAAAAAAACAAAAACAGAAGCAAAGAAATAGTTGAATTATTTAAAAGAGAATGCTTATGTCTAATGCATATACAACACAGACTAGAGGAATTCCCACCTATGACTATACATGTAGGACATGTTCACAAATAATGGAGCCCTCCGTGATATGCACCGTGGATCTGATTATTCTATTAAGCTGCTCCCATGATCCTACAATAAAAACTTGCAGGATGTTACCAAACAATGTATATTCCTGGGACCCAGTCTGGAACCAGAACTATCAGAATATAGGACTCTGGCTATGAAAGCAGCATCTGAAACAAGTTCTCAGTCTCTGACATACTCAAGTCTAAAGCCAGCCTCATGGCTGGGCACTGAGAGCACTGCTTTCCTTCACTCCTACTCCATGAAACAGATCTGTTGTTCCCAAGAGCCAGGAGAACAAAGTAATCTCAGCTCTCCATTCTTTCCCCATTCACTAATTTATATTTACCCAACAAGGAGGCTAAAGAGCAAGGTTAAACCAAAGTACTCTTAAGGAGAACTTGCTTAGCGGACTTTCCTACGCCTGCTCTGGGCCTGAGTTTACCTTAGCTTGAGTGAGAGCTGCCTTCTTCACCTGAAGCTGGGACTGCAGAAGCTTGAAGTTTTTTGACCAGCCTTCGGTTTTTGAGTCACTGGTCTCCACTCCCAGGTCATCATATAGGGACATCTTTTTGGTTTAATGCTGAAAGAAAGGAAGGTCAGAGACTAAATAATGTGAAACAGGAACAAGTCCTGAACATCTGTGTTAAAACAGCTACACCATGTACCTAACATCACAAATGCAGGGTTCTTTTTAACATGCGAAACTCTACCCATGCACTATTTTAAACAGTCTTCTAGAATTAGTTTTTCCTTTAAGACTGGTTCTCATGCAGCTCAGGCTGGCCTTGAACTCTTCAATAAAGCTGGCTTTGAATTTGTGATCCTCCTGCCCACACACCTTCTGAGTGCTGGGAAATGCCACTGTCCAGCCTAGAATTAATTTCTTCATCTAAAAGACTGTGGTGAAGTGACTCACAAGTAAAACAGTTCTAGAACAGACAATGAAGTATGATGGAAGCGCTACATCCGGGCATTTTAAGAATAAAGATTCAATTTTACAACTGTTCATCTCAATGGCAGAAAGTAGAAGTCTTATAAAAGCAGTAGCCTGTAGTCTGGATCAGCATAGGCAGCTGCTCTTTTATAAAGAAAACATGCAAACCAGGTGTGGGGGTGCAGACTGGTGGATCTAGAACACATTGTCATCTAAGCTACAGGAGTTTGAGGTTGGCCTAGGACACGAGACCATGTCCTAAATAAACAGATAATTACACACATTCACAGAAAGATCCTGTGGCTGAGGAAAGAGTAATGGAGGGGCTGTTCCTTAAGCCATGCTTATCAGCATTGACCTGTGGGCTTTGGATGGAGCTCCAGTGGCAGACAGCAGGGCACATGGAAGCCCTGGGATTGATCCCCAGCTCTTAGAAGACAGTCAGGAAGGTCAGAGGTTCATGGTTATCCTTGACTATATACTGAGTTCTAGGTCAGCTTGGACTACACCAAATCCTATCTCAAAACAAACAAACAAAAAACAAAAAAAACCTTTTTCTTAAAAAAGTCAAAAAGTTGAGCAATGTTGAGTATATTTACCACCTGCCCTAGGTTTGCTTTCTATTGTGACAAACGCCATGACCTAAAGCAACCTGGGGAGGGAAGGGTTGGCTTACATGTCCCATCATAGCCCATCACTGAGGGAAGTCAAGACAGGAATACAAGCAGGGCAGAAACATGGAGATAGGAACTGAAGCAGAGACCACAGAGTATGGCTTATTGGCTGTTCTACTTGCTTTCTTATACAACCCAGGACCACCTGCCAAGGGGTGGAAATACCCACAAAGGGCTGGGACCACTCTCATCTATCATTAATGCAGGCCAATCTGATGGAGGCAATTTCTTAATCAAAGTTCCCTCTATCCATATGACTCTAGCTTGTATCAAGCTGTCAAAAAAAAAATCAAACCAAACAACAACAAAACACTAACCAGCACACTGCCACAGAAGTGTACACTTACAAATAGCTAAAATAATAATGTATTTGCATCACATTTGTTTTGCCACAGGTAATCTCACTAGGAAACTAAGGAACTTGAGTTCCAAGTCAGCCTGTGCCATACAGCAATTTAAAAATAAAAATTAAAGAGGGAGCACTTTGTATGGAGATGGGAGTGAACCAACACCTGCAAACCTGGTATATCACCCTATTCAAAGCGTCAACTCTGACACGGGTATCTTCATAAATTTTAGGGTTAAAAATAAACTCAAACACTGTGGAGGATCTCAGCACCCAGCAACACCCTTCCACCTGAAAATTCTTATTTAATACAGCCCCCCCCACACACACACTTCAATCTCTCTCACAGTCTGTCTCTTCCTCTCTCACTCCCTCCTTTCCCAGTCTGAGATAGGGTCTATGTAGCTCTAGCTGGTCTGAAAGGCGCTACACAGATCAGATTGGCCTCAAACTCAGATCCTCTGCCTCCCAAGTCCTGGGATAAAAAGCGTGTACCAGGACTCAAGACTAATGCACTCTTCTGAGTTAATGAGGCTTTGTGAATCTACTGTGATTTCATTTCACTTCTCTAAACTGAAGACTCTACTAACAATTCCCTAACAATTCCATCTGATCTGACAAGCTCTCCTTTGCCTTAAAAAACAAAACAAAACACTTTATTAGAAACTGATGTCTCTCCACCATTTGGTAGTTTTCTGTAACAGTTCATAAAGTTACACCTTCACACCTCATAGATATGTTCTTCTGATTTTCTGGTTTTCACTGACCTTTACATTCCCAGTCCTGGACTGTCACAGTAAAGCATATGTCACCCCACATACATGCACTGATGACTTCAACCATAACTGCTACAAGCTCCTGTGAATTCATCAGCTAAAACAAGAGACAGGATCAGGGAGTCACTTGGCTCCTTAGTCATCCATGTGATTCTCCCCGAACCCTGTTCTATTACTCTTGGTTTTTATCTTAAATAATTTTGCTTGCAAAGGACCTATTCCTTTTAAGGTGTACATATTTACAGCTTAACTATTTAAAACATTTATGAATATACCATAGGTTAGTCATTAATCTCCCTACAAACATCCCGAAAACACTGAAGTTAACAAATACATAAACAAGATTCTGCCAAGATCCAAACCTAAAATGTTTTGGTATCACTTATATAATACATTGAGTTCATGGAGTCTGATGCCAGCTAATAAAAAGCAACATTTTCTAATATTTAGACATACCATAAGAATTGAGATTCAAATATAAACAGAAGTTGGCTTTTATAATGTAAAATGTGTGTTTACTGAATTCATGTGTGTTGAATGCACACAGAACTATGAACATCTGAGATTATAGCCCTTCGCCACCATGCTTGGCCGTTGTCTTTGTGTGCTGTAGGTATACATATACATTCGGAGGCCAAAGATGGACACTGAGTGTCTTCCATTGTCACTCTCATTCACCTTATTCTTTTGAGGCAGGGTCTCTTATCAAACCTGGAATTTGCTGATGTGGCAAGACTAGCTAGCTATCTAGTATGGTCCAGGGGACCTCCTGTTTTGGCTTCCTCAGAGCTGGGAATATAGGCATCCACTTCTGTGGAGACATTTGTACATAGGCGATGGGGATCTCAACTTAGGGCCTCATGTTTACCCAACAGCAATTTACTAAGCCATCTTCCCAGCCCTTAGTTCAATTTTTATGGTAATGTTACCCTTTTTGGTCAGCCCACTTTTATTATATTAGTTCTCTAAATTGTAGAGGAACAGAACTTACAGAAATACACACACAGAGACACAATAGAATGGGTCCAGCTAATTCAACAATGGCTGCCTACAATCTGAAGGTTCAAGAATCCAGGAGTTGTCTTCGAAGCTGAATGTCTCAATTGGTCTTCAGTACCAGATGTAGTCAAGTTGATGACCAAGAGCAACCATCACAAGCCTACCCCTTGTCAATTTGAAAAACAATCATGCCTTGCATACAGTACTTCATGATGATCTTTTATGGAATTACCTCTATCTGCAGCTACTCCATTTTTGACAGTTTAAATTTCCCATCAAAGTTACCAAAATACCATATGTCAGAGCCTATCAAAATCAAACTAATTAGAGACATTTGCAACTTAAGCACACAGCAGAGCAGGTTTCCCCTACTATTCTCAAAGACTCGTAGAATTATTACTAAACTGTTCCCCGCTGGAAAGTTGTGAAAAAGTGTAGTAGCATTTTATTGTATTTTAATAGGGCTTTCCTGAGATCAGAAAGCAAAGCAACCAGCCACTGCCTCTTACCTCGACCTCAGTTCGAAAATGGTGATTCGACATCCAGGAGACCTCAGAATGAGACTGAGGCTGTAAACTATCTCCTCCTGCTTTTATAATCCTTTGTGGGGCTGGGATTAAAGGCATGCCCCGCCCAGTTTATACGACAAACTAGTGTGGCTACTGGGATTAAAGGTGTGTGTTACCAGTGCCTGGTCTGTAAGGCTGCTCAGTGGGGTTGTTTTACTCTCTGATCTTCGGGAACGCTTTACTTACTAAAATATAAATGAAATGCCACTACAAAAAGGTCATGTGCAGGGGAAAATAGGTGACAACAAATAAGGGGTCGATAAGGACCCACATGGTAGGAGAAAAGGGACTCCTGCAGGCTGTTCTCTGATTGCCACGTGTGGCTTCTCCTTGAACCCCTAATCTTCCTGCCCACACCTCCCAAGCACTGGTGTTCAAAGCATGAACCACGACCCGGGACTAGACTATTCATATTTTTTTTGTTTTTTTTTTTTTCTTTTTGTTTTTCAAGACAGGGTTTCTCTGTGGCTTTGGAACCTGTCCTGGAACTAGCTCTTGTAGACCAGGCTGGCCTGGAACTCAGAGATCCGCCTGCCTCTGTCTCCTGAGTGCTGGGATTAAAGGCATGTACCACCACTGCCCGGCTTAGACTATTCATATTTACTATAATTAGCTATCTCGAAATGCTTACAGCTCATCCCAGCATAAATGTGTGCACTGTATTGCATTGTTTCAAAGAGCGACCTGTCACAAGGAGACAGTCTTCATCTGTTCTGAGCACAAACAGAATCATCTTAGGAAACAGAATCATCTTAGGAAATCATACCTTCCACCCTCATGTAGTCTTCCCGATAAGAATTTAATGTCAATAGTCCTCCCTTCCTGACTTAAAGTATGGTAAGAATCTGTTCACCCCTCCAAATCCCTCCTAACTGCCTTAAACTGCAGAATACTCTATGGTGTTCCGCTGTTGCTGCTTTTCCACTTCTGCGCTTTTAATGAACTCCCTCTAAAACTCCAAAGACCAGGGGATGGCCACGAGCGCTCAAACTCCCCGTAACACAGAGTTGAGGATGCCGGATTTACAACTGCCTCTACCTGTCCAGGCGAGACGACGTCCTCAATCCTTACTTCTGGGACCCAGGAAGGAAACAAGCTTCCTGAGGCCTGACACACTCCGGGTTACTGGGGTCTGGCGACCCAACAACTAGATCTGGACATGGCCATGAAGAGAAGGAAGGTACGGTGTTTAGTGTCAAGGCGATCAAGACAGGTGGAGGGGAGATCAGAGTGGCCCGGTCGAACATGGTAGGCAGAAGAGGCCCGCAGCGGAGGGCCGGGAACCCTTGGGCAGCTCGGGGGGCCGCGCCTGCATCCCCGTGCCCCTCACGGCGCGGCCTAGAGCCGCGGCCTCGCGTCCCCATCCGCGGAGGCGCGCTCACCCAAGTCTCCATTCCGGATCAGACCGCTTTCCCGGGGCCGCCACGGTGCTACTCACCCGGCCTTCCGAGACGATTCTGCCCATGGGCC